AGCAGAGTCGGGTATCACCCTGTACCCAGCTGGGGTCAGATCCTGCAGGCATCCTCTACCCTCCCACCAGTCACCCAAGCAGAGTCAAGACCATGCCCCCCACCCATACCTCCTTGGGCATTCTCACCTGTGAGCTGCACGATGACCTGGAAGGAGACAGTGCCCGGCACCCCGGGGTGTTTTTCCACCAGCACATAGTACCAGTGCTGCCAGAAGGGCAGGTCCAGTGCCAGCTGGCAGGGAGTGTGCTCCTGGCAGTCCAGCGCTGTGGAGTTGTGCAAGGGAGGAGCCTTGGCCCGCACACGCAGCCAGAGCGGGCAGCCCTCAGCCCCACGGCACCGCAGCACCTCCACCAGCACTCGTGACGTGTAGCTGGGCACAAACACCCTGCGGGACAGCAGTGTCAGGTCCTGCCCCTCACCATGGACCAACAGGGCTGGGGAGGCAAGCCAGAAGGATGGAGCACCCTAAGTTCCCAACCCTGGGGATGCCTCCTCCTTAGGAGACCCTCTTGCACTCACTTGTAGAGGCAGGGGGGGGTGTGCTCTGCTCGGTGACAAAACCAGGGTACAGCACGGCAATGTTCACCAGGCGCTGCACGATGAGCTGTGGCTGGAAGAGATACTGGCACTCCTCGTAGAGTCCCTGCACCAGCAGGAGAGTCAGCACGGGGCAGGGGGCACAGGACACTGTCCCTACTTGGGACACCTGCCCTGGGCACTGCCAGCCCAGGACAGTCTGTCCCCAGCAGAGCCCTGCAGTGAGCCCTGCCACCCCATGGTCCCCCCAAGCCCTTCACCTTGACGGAGATCTTGCCCTCATCTTTGGGCAGGTGGGCAGCCAGGAACCAGTCCCCGGGCAGTGGGCTGGTGACATTGAACACCCCCGTGGTGCGGTTGGGAAGAGTCCAGGTGAGTGTCAGTGCAAAGGAGCCAGGGACAGCCGTGTCCCTGGGGAAGTGCGTGTGCAGGGGGTTAATGACGGAGGGAGCCCCTGAGCGGAAATACCTGTAGGGGAGACAGCAGTTAGCAGGGTGCCAGTCGGACATGGTGGCAGGGCCAACCTGCCCTATGCGTGGGGGTCTGTCCTCTGTGATATTAGGAAGCTTGAAGACATCATGGGAGGCCACCTGTAAACTGGAACCTTGCTGGAGGCTGTGAGCTTCCTGGAGTGATTGTTCAAGCAAAATCGTTCATGCGTGAGATGCACAAAAGGGTGGAGCCTACAACAGTCCTGGGAAGATGAATCATGGAGAGTGAGCGTGCGTGTGTGTGCATGTGTGTGTATATCCATGTGTGCACGCATCTGTGCACACGTGTGTGCCTGCATACGCATGTATGGCCATGAGTGCTCCTCTATATAAGTGCAGGTGTCTATATCAATGCACGTGTGCACGTGCAAGCAAGAAGCAGACAAGAGCAGGCCAGCGCCAGGGCAAGTCCAGGCAGGGGTCACCAGGGGCAGGCAGGAAGAGAACAGACAGGGCTCACTGCTTACTCACACGGTGATGCTGCGGTCTGGGCATTGGTCCCCAAACGTGCCACCCTGCTCCTTGAAGGTGATAAGGTTCCAGACGGCGATGACTGTGTCCTCAGGGATGTGGAAGTGGAAGAGCTCGATGCTGGCAAAGGAGCGGAAGGGGCTGAGCTTGCGTGGTGTGCGGGTGAAGTAGTCGGTCACAAAGAGCCCATCTGCAGGGGAGACCCAAGGGGCTGTCAGTGGGGTGAGGGACTGAGGGGGTGCAGCACCCCTCCCAGACCAGGTCCACCCAGCCAGGCTCTGAACACCCCCTAAAACCAGCCACCCAGAGGCAGGAGGGGCTGGAGCTATGCCATTTCAGTGTGTCCCCAGGGCTGATATCGGCTGCGCCCAGCTTCATTTCCCAGCCCTGGCACAGTCTGAATCATGCCTGGTTCAGAATTGCCCCAAGCCCAGTTCCCTGAGCCCTTGGCTCTGTCTGCTCAGGTTCTGCCTATGTGCACCCCACCTCTTTCAACTCATCATCCTCTTCAGTGAGGACCTGCTCCCTGCATTTCACCTGTAATAAAGGGCCATTCCTCATGGCTCCAGCCCTGCCTCAACAGATCAGCTCTCACAGGGACACAGGTTCCCCCCTTCTCTGCCTGCCAAGAAGGCTCAGCACAGAGCCCATCATAAACTGCAGAGTCCTACCCTAGAGCCATGAGAAGAGGAACGAGCAGTGCACGTCCTGCAGAGCCTCTCAGCTCTCCCATGGTTTGCGGAGGAGGAATGGTGCACATATGTGTGCACATATGCACACGTGGGTGCTCTCTGCGTGCACGGAAAAGTGGAGGCGTGCACACCCACATGCATGGGCGTGCATCGCTCTGCTCAGCACCATGTCTGCAAGACACTTCCTGCAAACCCATGGCAGGCAATGGGGCCACCTCCCCCTGCCCAACTGCCCAACGGTTTGATTTCCAGGGATTTCCAGGCACCACAGCAGCAGAGGGCCAGCCACCTCCGTGGCACAGTACAGACAAGGGAGACCTGGTCTCCAGACAGCAGCTGTAACTTCACCCTACCGTTGCCACACTCCCCCAGTGCCAGCCTGGGAGACCCATCTATCACTCCCCAGAGATGCACCAGGGAGGAGATGCACCTCTGCACAAGCTGCTGGCAAGGGGGATGCCAGCAGAGGATGGGCTGGGAGCAGGGCTGTGCCCAGAAGGACTTGTCCTGTGGGGAATGGGAGAGCTGAGAAGAAGGGCTGCTTTGCACAGTGTGTGCCTGGCTGAGAGCACGCGCATGTGCTTGTGTGCACGTGTGTTTTTGCTGCGTGTGTGCAGCCCCAGCCGGCTGTACAGTGACATGCATCTGCTCCCTTGCCTGGAACAAAGGCAGCTCCCCCTCCCCTTCACTGCCAGCCAACACAAGCCAGGCATTAAATACCTGTCTCAATGCAAAAGCATCTGATCCCAATTTCCCTACCATGAACCACCAAGCCACTCCACAGCTCCCCTCCCCATGCTGAGACAGTGACCTGGCAGGGGACCCCAAGGAGGAGGGGATGTGGAACACAATGCCAGGAGGTGGTATGGGGGGAAGTACTCAGAGCTTCCCTGTCCC